TTTGTCCTGAGTTGGCACTCTCAGTTGGGTTCCGCCAGAACCGCATTGTCACAAATATAGAGACTTGTTAAATAGGAGTTGGTATTTAGACCAAAACCTCACTTTTCATAGGTTACTCAACTGCTGTAAAATGGTAAACAATTTCTGTTACCGCAGATGTGGGCTGGATGTGAATCACTTAATTGCCCCATAGCTCATTACTGCTTCTGCAGGCCATTCAGTTCCTAACCCAAATAATAGGTTTAATTCTTAATTGAAAACTGAAATTCAGGTACATGTGGATTAAAATCCTTCTCGCTATATAAGAAAAGGACTAAAACATAAGGAAAGCATGATTGTGTTAGACTATAAAAAGAGATTTGTATCAAAACTAGTAAAGCCATGAAACAAAAAATGACCTCTTTTGAATGTTTTTAGTGTTGAGAGAGAGATTTAGGAACAAATCCCATAGAAAATTACTTAACTGACCCATTAACGGTACATTTACTGAGTTATACTAGAAATTAAAACCCAGAAGAAAATAGTCTCATTCTCCTCTGGCATTCTTGCCCCATGTTTAAATTCCTGTCTTATATGAATAAAATCTATATGATGATCATTGGATAAATTTTGCTAAACATTGTCCAAACATACAAAGCATAGAAATTCACCAATTTAACTTAGTGGTAAATTCTGTCAACAGCACTTTGAAACTTCATTGTCAGCTTCTTTTTGGTACTTTAAAAGCCAACAATAGATATTGGTTATTATGGGGATCGGTAATGAATTGGAGAACAGATTCCAGAGCCTGCAAGCATTTAAACGTATCTTTACAGGTTGGGAGTGATTAACTGCTACTCCTGTTTATTTGCACATAGAAGGCTGAAAATATTTTTGTTTCTTATTTCTGAGCAGTAATAAATGTATTTTAGAACTATGAGCTTTCTATCTGATAAACGTATCTGATGCTTGAAGATTCTGTTTTTTAGAAGGACAGTACTGGCTTATTATGCTTTTGGTTTTGGACATATGTTTTTCATATGGTATAATTTTTCTAATTCTTTGATTATACAATGGATTTGTAGCACAGCCTATGTGCTGCAAGGCAGTATTGTGTTCTTGATATGTCCTGGGACAACCATGTTATTATCTGGTCCCAGGATGTGGTTGATTTTCAGTATAAATTATCCCTTTATCATTTAGATTTAAAACAATGCAGTGGCTGCTATACTTTGAATTTCAGCTCAATAGTAATTTAAACTTACCTTTTAATTAATTTATTCACTGTTTATCTAAGGCACACTAAAAAACTTTTAAAAAGTAGTTTTAATAGAATATTAAACAGATATCCACCCAGGCCCACTGATCTCATAAGAAAAAATAGAGCTCTTTTGATGTCTTTGCATCTCAAAACAGCATCTTTTTGGATTACTATGTTTGAGGACCACAAATTGTAAAGTCCCTGTAGACACGACCTTTGGCAAAGCATGACTTCACAATATGCCCTTGTTGGCATCATATACACCATCGAACTATACCGAAGACATGAGTCTGCCATAGGGTTAAGATAGTACACTGTTTTGTAATGTATAAAACAAATATACATATTGGTCTTGTATACACAATACCAGAAAAAAAAATAGACTGCCTTACCTTTATAAGCAGACTGTTGTCTTAAGGATTTATCAATC